TGATATCACGCTTGTTCAGCTTGTACCAAGCGGCAGAATTTCCTTTAAAGTTCGCAGTAGTAATCGCCAAAACTCGAGAACTTGAATTGTCGTGTTGCCAATCGATGTTTTTGGCTTCAAAGTACTGAGCAAGTTGCTCGAAGTACAATTCAACAGATTCTCCCATCGTGCCATGAAATTCAGGCAGACAGATACCTTCCACTTTTACTTCACGCTTACCCATGGGTTCGAGCAGTTGTTGTTGCTTGTCAACCATTTCGATGAGTTTCTGCGTGATAGCGTTTAGTAGACCATCCTTAAGGATTTAAGGAAGTCATAATTGGTTGGCGAAAACTTAAGCGATGAAGTGCCGGAAAAAGTAGTCGGATACAGGTGGACAGCGACGAGGGGTACAGGTACTGAACTGATCCGGTTCTTATAGACCAGACACTTACAGCACACACGCAATCAGCGATAACGTTGATCAGGGGTGCAACGAAAGCTGTAGGTACTAACTTGATCCGGTTCTTAAAGACCAGACACTTAGTGCAGAACACAAGCAAAACTTCCAAACGGCAGGCCGCATGCTATGAGGTCGCAATGAAGAAATCCGACGAATGTGAAGGCGAACAAACGACGCCACGCGCTCAACGGGAGGCTTTCCACGTGTCGCGTAGCGAATAGAGAATCAAGAACCCCCTCCCAGGACGAAAAACAGCAAGTGCTACCAGATGTGACGACTGGTGAGAGCACGGCGCAGAGGAACAGCGACGAGGGAAAAGTCGCGTGGCGAGGAATGAAGCGGAGAAGGGCGGCGTGAGTCCAGCGATGGGGACTCGAAGGTAAGGCGCAGGAGAATACTATTGTGCCTCGGAGAAGGTAAATTGGAAAGTACGATTGAAATGGTTAGTTGTTTGTCGGCTACGAGGAAGTGCTTGTTAGCATTCCCTTGGTATCCTATGTATGTAAATGCATTTCACTATACTATATTCTAAGTAGTCCTTGAGTCGAATCTTGAAGTAGCGTAGCGTAGTAGTGAGCCGCGGCCCATTTGAACCGGGTCGGAATCTCCATATTGAATTCAAATGATAAAGAATGACTGTCATTGAAGTTCCATGTTTGGCAATACTCGTCCAAACATGGTGATTGTTTTCCGGTCGGGTGTGTGCCTGCCTGGTCGCTCATTGGCAACTTAAGAAGACAGTTGGCAGTCAGCAAAGATAAGGAGGAATATAATTGAAGAAATTAGGACGCATTGGTACCAACGTCATGGCCATCGCTGGCTACGATGTCGGTGCGTCGCTACAGAAATACTAATCGAATGGATGTACACACAGAGACCAGTGCGGTTGATTTTTCACAGTCGGCAAGTCGATGGATGCAAACTCAGTTGGGTGACGAATATCTATCTGCAGACGACACGCATGATGCAGCGAGCAGTAGTATTCAAGAAACTACTCCATCTGAGATTTTAGGGATCGATGTATCGTCGCTTTTGTTGCCGATACAACCTTCAGATCAACAACACCACACTGTCTACTAGGAAGAAGACATTCATTTTCGAAGACAGGTGGACGGCAGTTTGGTTCGGTAAGTTGGTATTGCTGAGGGCATTAATCTAGCGTTGCCGTTTGCAACTTTGTTAGAGCGTGCTCACTACATAGCTAGAAATGGGGATGATGACAACAATTTGGCATCTTACCTCCACTTTAGTCGTCATGAAAAGCGTCTCCGGGGGTAATTAACCAATCAAATACACTTAATCTGCCGCGCTATTATTCGAATAAATGGCAGTTATTCCCTCCCTGCCTTCAGTCCAAGAAACTCAAGAACCCCCAGCCTTTAGTATAAGGAGCTCAAGCCGATGGTGTCCACGGTAGAAGCAGTCACGAACGATGCTTGTGGCGACCCCACAACGTCAAACGCTGAGGACTTGCTAGTATACGCCAGCGCCGACGACATTGTCGCTACTTCTGTGCCTCTCGCGCAAACGTCGGTCGTGCTGACTGCACTTCCAAATGCGGCCACATAATAGAGAGCAGCGGTCATCTTCTTGTTGTAGGAGTGCCGTCTGGTTTTCGCTGCGGCGAAACGGATACCGTTTTCTCGGAGAAAACCAGCGATAAGTAGGAATGTAGGCTTTGTGCATATCAAGTTGTTTCAAACCAGCTCTCGTAGGAGCAGACAATAACATGGGCTCGAAGTGCAATGTGTTGACGGTAAGCTTCTGTTTCTTGGGGGCTGGTGCGGGTGGCTCGCAGCTTACAGCAAGAGCTGTCACAGTCTTGAGCAGTAGCGATACAAGTGACGATTACCACATCATCCTCATCGTCCATTGCGTATAAATATACTGTGAACGCGTCTCCAGGCTTCTCTACCTATTTGAGGCACAGAAGAAGAGAGGTTATTTCTCCAGCTGTAATATTGTGACAGGCGTTTTTTTTTTACCAATCCGGATTCGGCAGAATATTGTTCATCGGTCGATCTCCATCTCTTGCAACGTAGTGAACACGCTCTTAGACGTACGGTGTGGACGAGGTTATCGGAAGAGAACAATTCCATTTACCTTGGTTTCGCTAAAATTGACTTTAAACAACTCCATCCGGCTGCAGGTTTCCGTCTCGGTCCGTTTTGTCTCTGTCACAGTGAGATACTCGGGCAAATACTCGTCAGTTTTGAAGCCTGTCAGCACTACTGTAGTCTTAGCACCTGAGCGGAAGAATTCTATCGTCAGCCCTCGGTCGACAGATTGATGCAGTGGTGCACTTTGCTAAAGTGTCAAGAAGCGTACTTAAGCTGGAGAACATATTATAATAGATGATATTTTATGTAAAAAAATAGATATTATAATAGATGATAATTTATCTATTTTTTAAATCTACAGTGATTCTTCCAGATAGTGATAAAAAGTAGGTATCACTACGAAAGTGTACTGTAGCGGCAGATCGTCGTTTGCGCTCTCGATTGCTCCATCGTCACACATTTCGGCTTTCTTTACTCGATTGGAAGAGTAATCTGAGCGTGGGGCTGCGACCCGCGAGCACGAGCAGCTCACTTCGCAGCTAGCGGAACACCGCATCTCCTTGACGAATGCAATGGCAGACACCCCAATGTCTCCCCTCGGTGGCAGCTCCAATGACGATCTTCTCGCAGCTCTAGACGAAATGCTGGCCTTCACACCAGAGACGACTTCATCTCTAGCTCAACTACCGTTGGATGCAAACTTCGTGGCAGACGCATTCGAGCTGCCGGAAGTGCCGAGTCCTTACGAGCAGCCAGTGGAGGAGGAGGTAAAGATAAAGACAGAGACGACTGCAGTTCCTGTAGTACCAACTCAACCACACGAAGAGCTGAATGGACCCAGAGGAAAAGACGCGCGTGCGACGCCGTACCCGAAGGCGAAACCTCGTCGCCGCAAACGCCCGAAAGATGAACTCGATTATCTCCGAGCAAAAGTGGCGGATCTGGAGGATGAGCTGACGAATCTGAACCAATCGGCAGGTAGAATGTCTCCTGTCAGTGATGACGACGAGGAAACGTTCGCTTGTTGGAAACAGGTTGCAGAGCGACAGAAAGAGGAGGCCAACAAGACTGTGGTCGAGAACCTCAAGCTACGCGCTATGCTGAAGGGTCAATTAGAGGTCGCACGTCGTCTCGAAGTGGCTATCGCTCAGCATCAGCAGACAGCCACAGAGCAGGCTTTCCCGTGGAACCCTATCAAGACGGAGTTTACCGCAGACGCAGAGGCTGAAAGTGACTGTAGACGCCCACGCGCGCCAAGCGTCTCGGACGAACTGCTCTTCGCCGAGTTGAATGGAACTCTCGAGGCACAGTACGCACAGGTTGACGCACTACTGGAAGCGAGTGGAATTGCCGATGCTAACCGCGAAATGCTGGGCAACATTCAGCTTAGACAGGACTCGAATGGCATCTCTTTCGCACACAAGGATGTCCGTGTGCTGCCCTTCTCAATGCACGCTGTGGCTCGCGTTATGTGGTCGTTCCTCTTGTACGAGAGTAAAAAGTTGCCAGGGACTATCCAGACTCGCGTGCTGAACAATGACCACCTGAACGCCACGATCGTCGATACTCTACAACTCCCAAAGTCGCGCCACACTGAAGTCCGAACGCGAATTGCAGTGCGTCGGTATTTCGAAAGGAAGCGCATTGTGGTTGTGTGGAGTGGGTGCGTGGAGATTGCAGGCTCTGTATTTGTGCGTCTTCGTGAAAAAGGAGTCAATACTGTGTCGAACTTTGATTTTCTCAGCGGTGGCAGTGGCATCTCCCCTCATGGCTGCATCATTCGCGCCGTGGTCGACGTCAAGCCGGAGACTGTGGAATTTAGCACGGGAGTCGATACCCAAGGTCATATAGGAGAAATGACCGACCTCGTGCTCGGCACCTACCACCGCAACTTTGGATTGATCACTCAAGTGATGGAGAACCTTCTGCTTAACGACCTCATGGGAACCTCAGCTTCATCTAGACAGGAAGACGTCGTCGCATAGACAGTTGATTAGTGCCGTTTCCACTACGCCACTAATCACTTACTACAGAGTATTACTTGAGTAAACACACTAAAACCAACCGCTTTCCCCCATACATGAACTGCTTAAAAGATGAATTACCATATTTTAGTACATGAAGTATTAGAAAAGAAGTGGATCGTTCACTGTCACCGAATTAGTAAGTTTCGCATAAAATTTAAGTAAACGCACCAAGACCGACCAATGTCACTCAAACGGGGAAACAGGTGCCACTTATCACTTGACACTTTCAGTTTTTCTACGGCTAAGCAGTAGAAAATAAACCTGAAGCAGCAAGGTTATGTAGAACAACTAGCCGCCTTCTGGGCGCCATCTGTCCATGAATGAATAAATTAAATGCATTTAAAAAACGATTAGAATGTTCTATTTAGTGCTCGCGAAACGATTGGACCTATGCTCAGCGAGGCTATTGTTATCCGATCGATAACAATTACTAGCAAGAAATACATTGTAGAGCATTTCTTAATAAAATGCTCGACTAAAAACCATTTTAGCGCTCAGCAACATGCGGAGAGGCATATGGAAGACTTTTGAAGTAACTCATTTTAGGAATTGTTTGAAGCTGGTGCGAGATAGTTTTCAGCGAAATCGTAGCGATACTTAATGTGTATGGCTGGCGAAGAATTTGTTGCAAGCACTATACTGTACTTGGCATTACTTCCTCGTTCATGCTGATTGCGACCTTCTATTATACAGTATGAGGTTTCATTTGCCGGGGTGATTCTCAGCTAATAAACAGAACGACGTCTGGAAAATTTGCATTCCTTAAAAATAAGATAAGTTCGTTTGGGCCAACTGCGTACCTAGCAGATTTCTACTGCACTAAAGAAAATGCTTATGTAGCAGACCACTTTTCTACTGGATTGTGGTAATTCCTCTCTTTTAGAGCATATCAATCATCATCGATCTGCGTTTAATATTTTAGCAACCAATCATGTATCAATGTTTCCTCGTTTTATTCCAACTTCCAGCATCCACACAAGCAGGACCGCCCCTCTGCTTCCAGTCTCAACGAAGGCGAGATGGACATGGACTTGCTGGACGCTCTGGACGAGATGCTGGCCTGCACGGACGAACCCATCGAGACGGGGTATCACTTAGCCGACGCGTTTGGATCATCCGATGCACATGACGCTCGAACTGGGAGATATCCCACCTCTTTTGCCAATCGAAGAGCAGCAAGGCGCCTCGACACAGCAAAAAAATGCGGCAATAAACAATGAAGCGTCAACGCTGTCACCTTCTCAGAAACCTCAGCGTAAGGGCAAAGACGTTCGAACAGCTCCGTACGTGAAGCCAAAGCCGCGACGTCGGAAGCGACCGAAAGACGAACTAGATTATTTACGAACTCAGGTGAAGGATTTACAGGACGAACTTTCCAAGCTATCATCGACTAGTGATAGTGAAGGAAGCCACGACGACGAGCTGTTTGTCCAGTGGAAGAAAATAGCCGACCGACAAAAAGTCGAAGCGGATCGCTCCGTGGTAGAGAATCTTAAGCTGAGGTCCATGCTAGACGGGCAGTTAAAGATGGCCAGGAGTCTAGAGGCGGCTATCCAGCACCAACATGAGGAAGCTGCTCAGCTGTTGTCTCTGCATCGTGTCAAGGCCGAGCTAAACGCCATTGACAGAGGCAGAAGGCCACGCGCCATTAGCTTATCGGATGATCTCATCTTTGCTCAACTTAACATCGGACTGGAAGCGCAATACGCAGAGTTTGACTCGGTTATCGACAAGACGGGACTTGCAAAGCTGTTGCAGAGCTCAAATCAAATCCAGACGCTCCACACTCCGCAAGGTATCGCTTTCCGCCAAGGAGAAGCCCGACTACTTCCCTTCACTATGCCCGCAGTTCCTCGCGCGATGTGGAGTTGTGTACGCTACGGCAAGGCGGAGGAGCTGACGGGTCATATCCACACTCGAGTTGTTAATAATGACCACCTGAATGTCACGATCGTCGATAAGGTGCAGCTGGCAAAGTCTCACAGCATCGACACGTGTGCTAGACTGGCGATGCGCCGCTACTTCGAGCAGAATCGAATCATCGTCGTGTGGAGCGGATACGTGGAAATCACGGGCTCCTTCTTCGTGCGTCTTCGTGAAAGATGAGATGACGCTTGGCGCGTCACCGGGCTCTCTGACCTTCTATCACTACGTAAAGTAGGTGCCATAAGCACAGACTTGTAGGGCAGTAGGCGTAGAGCAAGTAGGAATAGAATGTAAGACACGTGAGTGCCGGGCAAAGTACCACGACAGGACCACGGAGTTCTGGTGCTTGCTGCCTCTCACTCGTTGTGCACGCAGCGCAGCAAAAGCAGTTGTGAGAGTGAGAGCTGCCAGCACCTGAACCTCCATGTTCCGCAAAGTTAGATTAGCACATACTCAGTCTATAGAAAGCTAAGTAGTTCACCATCACCTGCAACGCAGTTGCAGTTGCTCACCGCCACCCATGTCGTCCTTCATACAGTCCTTGGTATCTTCCGCACGCCGCTCGCACGTGAGCGCATTGCAGACCGGTACGCCGGGATGCAGTACATGCATAGACACGCGTAGGATTGTAGGTTGGATCAGTAGTACTGGTATTGCCAGTGTCTTGGGCTGTGGCAATGACGTCTGGCACTGGACACTGGCAGACCGTAGCAAATAGCATCTCACAGTAGCAGGATAGCATCTCACACTCCCACTTGATCTCGGCGATGCAGTGCCAAATCGACGCGATCACATCGCTTCATCCGTACACACACCACTGATAATAGTCGTACGATAGCCACCATCACCGTAATTTGCTAGCTGCATAGTCTCCCACTCGAATCGCACATGTCCGTAGTCCAGCGCAGTTGATTGCATGCTAGTGTTGTGGTACAGCCACACGAAACTGGTTCTTCCAGTCGGCACACAGGCACACTACATGTCATCGTCGTCAGTAATGTCTAATCCGTCGTTCTTGACCGCATCGCAGGTGACGCAGTCAAGGTATCATGCATCGCAGTTGACGCAGATGTAGCCTTTTCATTTACAGTGGCGGCCATGTCACTGTCTGCCACGATAGGCAGTACCTTCAGCATCTTTCGGAATCGGGAGAACTTGACCACCGCAAGTGGTTTGGTCATGATGTCAGCCACCATGTCCTCCGTCCCGATGTGTTGCGTAATGATCCGTTTTAGTTCCACATTCCGCCGCACCATGTGGTATTTGTTGTCAATGTGTTTTTGCTTGCTGTGCTTGCCGGGTTTAGTCGTTAGAGAGATGGCTCCCTGATTATCTCCGAGTAGTACAGGTAGTGCATGTTTCCACACTAGTTCTCGGCAGAGCCCTGCAAGCCACAGCAAGTCTTTTGTAGCTTCAGCCATTGCAACGTACTCAGCTTCACATATGCTCTGAGCATTGATTTCTTGTTTCCTCGATGAATAGGAGACAACATTGCTGTCCATCGTCGTCACGTATCCACTGATGCTGCGGCGGTCAACTGGATCATTAGCATAGTCAGCATCCGAATAGCAACCCACACATAGGTCACTCGCTGACGCAACATCCATCACCAGACCAAAGTCACGTGTAGCCTGCAGGTAGCGCAATACCCGCTTGGCTTGCGCATAGTGAGTATGGTCGTAGCTGGCTAGGTATTTCCCGAGATGTCTGGTTGCGTGTGCGATGTCAGGTGTTGAGGCACTTACAAGATACTGAAGCGCACCAACCAGCTCTCGATAGGGCAGGTACTCGGTCGTAGCAGGAACAACCGCCTTTGAGGGTGTCAAAGCCTCAGGCGTAGTACACCCATTGCACGTCTCCATGTGAAATCGTTTGAGTACTTCGAGTACATACTGTTTCTGGCAGTAGATAATCTGTCGACTGGGTCGGTTGATCAAGATCTCCACACCTAGTAAGTGCTTCACGGTTCCCATGGTTGTGAGCTCAAACGTTTCTTGCAGCGCGGCTGCAATTCGAGCACACAGCTCACGTGGACCCATTATCAATAGGTCGTCCACGTACACTTAGGAGCATAGTCACTTCTCCATCCTTCTTCAGCGCGTACAAGCCGTAGTCCGACTCCAGTCTTTCAAGCCCAAGTGTCAGCAACTTGGCATGTAGAGTTCGGTTCCATACGTTTGGTGCTTGTTTAAGTCCATAGAGGCTCTTCAAGAGCTTACAGACAAACGCTGGCCCATCTGTTTGAAAGCCTGGTGGTTGCTCCATGAAGATTAACTCATCGAGGTCCCCGTAAAGAAACGCGGTCTTTACATCGTACTGAAGAACTTCCCATCCTCGTTGAACGGCGAAGTAGATGGCAACACGGATCGTCTCAAACCGGATTACCGGTGCGTAGGTCTCACTGTAGTTCACGCCCAGTTGTTGTTTGAAGCTCAGAATCACGAGACGAGCTTTAAATCTTTTCACACGCCCTCGTTCGTCACGCTTAACAGCGAATACCCGTCTGCACGTAATAACCTTGACGCCTTTGGCTGCCGCGCGTGGCACCAATTTCCATGTTTTGTGTCGTTTCAGTGACTGTAGCTCAGCAAGCATAGCAGCCTTCCACTGAAGCCAATGCTTGCTCCGACGTGCCTGCTTGTAGGTCGTCGGTATCTCAATGTCCACATGGATAGACATCACGTTGCCCACCACATAGTCAAGAAGCCGCACGCTTGGCTTCTGCGTCCTACGAGGTCGCTTGAGACAGGGTTGAACAGCTGGATCGCGAATCTCAGAAGTTTTCGTCTCCTTCTCTTCTGTTTCAAGTTTCTTTCGCGTCTTTCGTTTTCGTCGCTTGCCAGACTTGGGTGCCGCAGGTGGCTCTTTCGTCTCATCGCTCGCAGCAACTTCAACTGGTGCATCTACACCGGCTGGCGACTCTACTCTCTGTTCCTCAGGTAAGTCGTCTTTCGCACTCCCACTGGACTCATGTTCTCTGTCCTGCAGGTCATCAGCTATCGGCACCATCTCGAGCTGCTTCGTCACATTCGAAGACTTAGAGCTCCAACCAGGTAGGTACGTCTCCATACTAGTCTTGATGCGTGCCACCGGAACACTATCGGGCAGCTGATGATAACCATCGTGATATGCGTTCTCTAGGAGTTGCTTTACGTAAGTGCCGTTACTTGTAAACTCCTCGTGAAATCGCGTGTTTCGTCCACGTGCAGTCACGACTTGAGCCGTCTTCAAATCCAGAAATTTGTAGCCCTTGGTATCATGACTATAACCAAGTAATAGAGATAGTCGTGCTCTCGGCTCCAATTTTTCTTTCTTTTGTCTGGACTCAGGAGGGACACGCACGTGTGCCACACATCCCCAAGTCCGAAGCTCATCCACATCGGGTGTCACACTGTACAGCTTCTTGTATGGCGAGACCAGTCCTAGCGGTTTAGTTGGTAGCCAATTCAGTGTCGTAACAATGTGTAGAAGTGCTTCTCCCCATAGCATGTTAGGAAGATGTGTAGCGGTCAGCATAGCACGGATGCGAGGCAGTACAGTGCCATTCGCTCGCTCCACCACACCATTCTCCTGAGGAGAGTAAGCATTCGTGAACTGCTGCACAATCCCATGCTCATTGCAGTAATCACTCAGCGCATTACTGGTGAATTCACCACCCTGATCAGAGTGCAGCCTCCGAACAGTGAGCTTGGGAAACTGAGTCCGAAGTTGATGTAGCAAAATCTTGACGTACAGTGTAGCCGCACTCTTTCGTTCGAGAAGAAACGCCCACTTGAAGCGAGTAGCTTCATCAATGATTAGCAGGAACATAGTTGCACCACCTTCCGTCGGTTCATTCATCGTGCATATGTCCATCATCAACATCTCGAGCGGTTCAGACTTCCGTTCAGGAAGTCTGAACCGTCTTGCTAGCAGCACACGCAACACACTCGTAGGAGCTCAGACCTTGTGCATTAATCTTTACTCCGACATCGAGCTTACTCGACAGCTCTCTCACAGTGTCCATACTCATGTGAGCGAACCGTTGGTGCAGTAACTCCATCGTCTTTCTGCTGTCCATGTCTTGTTTGCGTGCTGCCATCACCATCACTCCTGACACTCGCTCTCCCTTCAATCGGTAGATATTGTCTCGCATGATAAACTTCAACGAAGTACCTGGCTTTGAGAGCCAAGCCGACTGCTGATCATCTGAGCCCAGCAGCTTGTACTTCCCAGCCGTCTGCAAGTGACCGAGGCTGATAATGTTCACCTTTGCATTAGGAGTGTAGACCACGTCCTCAAGGAGGCGTTCTTCTTGTTCACCAGTTGTTTGGCTTACAATGCTTAGCAAGACAGAACCACACATAGTTGCATGTTCCGATGTTCCGTTGGCAAAGTCAAGCCGACTGGTGCGATCTTCTCGAATGATAGTAAATAGAGACAAGTCTTCACAGACATTCGCCTGAGAGCCAGAGTCCAAAATCCAACTCCACCCAATCTGAGTCATCAGACTGCTTTCCTTGGTTTCGACCAATCGCATTCACCTGTCGAATTCCACCAATACCAACATTCCCACGATTTTCGCAGTGTCTAGGCGAGTTTCCACGACGACTTGGCGACAAGTTCCGACGTTGAAGATCATTTCGACGAATGCAATCATTCAGTAGTGGTCCACGCGCGGGTGATGGTCCACTACGCCACGGCTCTTGCGGCTGGGGTCCATAATGACTTGGCGGCTGGTTGTTCGCTCGTGGCTCACGACGAGCAGACCAATTACGACCACGAGGTGGCGAACGCCAACGCAATGGCGAACGCCCACGCTGCAGTGATCTTCCTCTCGGTGAGCGACTTCTTCCAGACTGCGGTGGTCTAACTTGTTGCAGGTTTCGGGGCGGTGAGCGACTCCATCTACGTTGCGGCGACCTTCCTTGTTGGAAGTCCCGAGGAGGTGAGCGGCTCCTTCCACGTTGCGGTGATCTTCCTCTTTGGAAGTTCCGCGGAGGTGAGCGGCTCCTTCCACGTTGCGGCGATCTTCCTCTTTGGATTCCGCGGAGGTGAGTAGTTCCATCCTTGTAGTTGTAGTGAGTCAGCTCGTCCTGGTATAAATCCACTGCGTCCTAGCTCATAAGGACTCATGTTGGACTGATATCCTCGCCCGTAATCTTGCTCAGGTCCTTGGCGTCCGCGTCGCTCAACATTAGGTCCACAATGATCATCCCCCGGCACAGGTGGACCCACTTGTGGTCCACCTTTGGTGTACCATAGCTCAGATCCAGGTCCTTGCGAGCTCTGCATCAGTCCTTGACCCAGATAGTATAATGCAGTTTACAAAGCAGGAGGTGGACCAAGCGATTGGCCACTCTCCCACTGGCTTTTCATCGCCGCTGGTACAGCAAATTGCACCTCTTGGTGTCCTGTATGCACTTGTCCATCCTTTTGTTCTTGTTCTCCACCTTGCATATGATTAACAGGAACTCTCAGTTGCAGTTGCTGCGGTGTCGTTGGCACGTTCGGGTGTACTGCAGGTGTACACTTGGACTCGAGTCCGACTGCCGATGTCTTCACCTCTTCAGCCAGATTCATATCTTCAGCCTCACTGCTCGCAGGTGTTATCACCGAATACACGGGAGACATGTGTGCAGCCGTCGCCACACCATCGTTGTTCCCATCGTTATTCGCCAGTCGTGTCGTCGCACACAACGAGAGACCCGAGAATAGGGCTCGTTGCTCACTGTCAGACTGGGAAACTTCAACTCGTCTCACCGAGCTGATGAGGGAAGCTGGCGACTTCTTGTACTTCAACTTGTTCTTAAGTCTCTTGGCCAGGTCTGGTCTCAGTTGCATGCCAGTCTGCGCAGTGCATTCTGCATACCAGTGACCATCTCCATTGCAGTTAGCGCAGGCTGTGTGCTTCTTCTTCTCAGCTGCAGCCTTTGCCTTCTTGCGCTGGTTCTTCCCACGTTTCTTTCCAGACTCACGTCCACTTCCACTGTTGTGTCCATGTCCGTAGCCTTGACCTTGTCCTCGTCCTTGTCCTTGGCCAGTACTAACCTGCGCGACTTGCATCGTCCGCGTTGTAGGCCGGTTCGTCTGCTGTTGCAGCTGATCACGCTGATGTTCAGCGGAGCGCAGGCGCTGCAACGCCTCGGACAGCTTTAGGCCACGTCGGTCGTGTTGGTTGATCCAGTCTGCGTGTTCACGCGCGAGATCTCGAAATACCAACACGCAGTTTGATAGAAGTAGGCTTGCATGTTGTCATTCTTCAAATTCACCATTTCCTTGACGCAGGAGTGTCACCTTTCGTCCGATGTCCTCCACGTACGCAGTAACGGACTCGTTCGGTTGTAATCGGCGAGTCACCAAGTCCTGTAGCAAGTAGTCAGAATTGATGCCGTCTCCAGCCTCAAAGTGTTTGGTAATCGCTGAATACAGCATTGCTGCCGCATCCATGTTGTCTCTTATCTCATCGATCTTGAACGTAATGCGTAAGTCCACAGATAGAGATAGGGCCAACGCGGAGAACGCCTTGTTCTTTCGCGTCGCATACCACTCATGATACTTAGGGCGACGTATACCTTCCTCTTCGTCATATCGCTCTCCTCCATACGTAATGTCGCCTAGCGAGCGCGTCTCGAAGTGCAACGGCACCTCGCTTCGCCACGCTTTGTAGTCTTCTTTCTTGTGAAGCTTAGGCAACACAATGCTTGCGGAGTTGCGCAACGCCTTGGTGTGGTCGGACAGCTCCTTGTCGTCGTACCGACCACCGGGGTTCATGTTGTCCAGGCTGCTCTCTCCTCGGCTCGTGTAGCTTCGTCCACTGCCAACCGATCCTTGGCTCGACGGTGGTGGAGGCGGAGGGGGCGGATTTTCAACTGGCCCCGTTTCTTCGATTGTGTTCGAATTCTGCATACCTTCGAGTAACACTCGAAGTAACGGTCGCCCACCAGTAATTCCGATCAATGAGCGAATTAGTCGCTCAGCATCAGATTGCGATAATGTCGCATCATCCGGGCCATTCAGCCTTTCGACCAATCCCGGGGAATCTTCTCCTTGATTCGTCAAAACTTCTTTTTGTGTGTTTTCAACACCAGAGTCTACGTCAGTCGATCGCTGCGCCCTGATTGGGCTCATAACCTGAGATGACGCATGGCGCGTCACCGGGCTCTCCGACCTTCTATCACTACGTAAAGTAGGTGCCATAAGCACAGACTTGTAGGGCAGTAGGCGTAGAGCAAGTAGGAATAGAATGTAAGACACGTGAGTGCCGGGCAAAGTACCACGACAGGACCCCGGAGTTCTGGTGCTTGCTGCCTCTCACTCGTTGTACACGCAGCACAGCAAAAGCAGTTGTGAGAGTGAGAGCTGCCAGCACCTGAACCTCCATGTTCCGCAAAGTTAGATTAGCACATACTCAGTCTAAGATAGTCTATAGAAAGCTAAGTAGTTCACCATCACCGCAACGCAGTTGCAGTTGCTCACCGCCACCCATGTCTTCCTTCATACAGTCCTTGGTATCTTCCGCACGCCGCTCGCACGTGAGCGCGTTGCAGACCGGTACGCCGGGATGCAGTACATGCATAGACACGCGTAGGATTGTAGGTTGGATCAGTAGTACTGGTATTGCCAGTGTCTTGGGCTGTGGCAATGACGTCTGGCACTGGACACTGGCAGACCGTAGCAAATAGCATCTCACAAAAGAGGCTACACTTCAGCCTCAGCCTTCGACTTCAGCACAAACGCCGAGGTGAGTTCCAGTAGGTCGAGTAGTATCCCTGGCTGTGTACTTCGCATGAAGCCCGAGATGGATGAGTTCGACTCGGAAGAAGAAGCTAAAGACCACGTTGGAGAAGTGTCGGATCTTGTAGTGGGCTCGTACCATCGGAACTTTGGCTTGATGTACCAGATCATTGAGAATCTTCTCTTCCGTGACTCGACGGGCGGAGAAGCGGACGAGCTAGAATTGGATCGTTTTGCCACATACTAGACAAACTGTCATACGTGTAGTAGCCAGTTTATCGCTGCGAGATAGTACACCATTGCAGAGCGAGTTGTTTTTCTCCCTGCTTCATGCCCATTTTGAGCCTATTCTGGTTACTTACTGTGTCGCAGAAACGAGTCCGGTTGATTAGACAGCAAATAGAGGTCGTGTGGATCAAACTGTCGTCCATTTACACTGTACATGGTAGGTTCGCATAGTGCAACGCTTCAGCGCAATGTAAGTGCCGGTAGAATTTGTGAGGTCAGCGTGTCGAGCTCCGCTGGCTCACTGTTATCTTTAGGCAACCAACCAGTTATTAAAACTACATGCTCGTTTCCCACGGAGAAGAATTGGGATTGATGAGGAAACCTCGCGTTGTTCTTTCTGTCTTCTCTTTAGCTCTAGGCTCTACACTCGTGTGCATTCACTCGCTTGGATCTGCCTTCAGAAGAATATAATTTATTCTTAAGACTTGTGGAGCAATCGCAATATGTTTTCTTGCAGTTCGAGAACTATCGGCGTCGTATAAATATGTGGCTTCTGTCGAGGAAAGTACGCAGATGTTCAGCGTCGAGTTCATCAAATCGAAAGCCAGGGCAGTTCTTCAGTTCTCGGTACTGTAGAAACGCGCGTATTCGCCGTCCAAATGCTACGCTCTATGAATTCCTACGCAGTTGACGTCGCCTACATTGAAATAGAAGTCATGCAGTTGTGAAAACTATTTGTGCCTGAGGATTGCAAACCGCTATTATAATAAATTGGATAAGGTCACTTGGGTCAAGACGACCTGGTAAGAAAACATTTGCACGCTTATGTATGGCACTGCAGACGTGCCTGCACATTGCAAACGTCCTCACCATCCGTACCTCTGCCCGCCCTGACTCACAGAAGAAGGCCTACGTTAACGAAATGCTGGGCACTCCAAAATCTGCTGCTTCGAGTCGAGATGACCACCCTTTTCCCACTGTCGACCTTAACAGATCCACCGTGCGATGACTCGGTATCAACTCGCTCTCCAACGCACACGTCTCCAGTAGAATACGATGGATCAAGTGAGAGTGACAGCGAGCTCTTGCTGAGTCTCTTCGGTCATCCCGGACAGGATTCCGATGTCGCTGACCGAGGTGGTCGTCCATTTCCTTACACCCGCTCCAAGACGCGATGGCGTAAGCGTCCGAACGATGAGCTCAAGTACCTGCGAGCGCAGATCACCGAGCTTGAAGGCTTGGTCATAACATTGAGCCATTCCGACCCTCGCCCGAAGTTACTGCGCCATGGTGAAGATAATGGAGATAAAAAGCAAGTGCAAGTGCTCCAGAAACTCTCGGAAGAAAGTCACAAGAAGAAGATGGAGGCAGCTTTGACCGAGAACCGGAAGCTCAAGGCCATGGTAGCAAGTAACTTTCAAGTGGCTAAGGCGCTGCAAGCCGCTCTTGACGAGAACATGCGCCTGAGAGCGCGTAAAATTTGCTGGCCTAGCAGCGCCGCCGCTTCGGATGAACTGGTGTTCGCCTTGCTGGACGAAGAAAAGGAGCTGCAGTACGCTGCGACAGACAAAGTCCTGGACGCGAGTGGGATCGCTCGGATCTACCATCCGTATTTCTCCGAGCCCGAACTCCACCGTGAGGGCAGTGGAGTGAATTTTCAGCACAATGACGTTCGTGTACTCCCCTTCGCTGTGGCAGACGTTGTTCGAGCGCTGCGTCACAGCTTGAGGCATGGATCAAACGTTGGTCCCTCGCAACACTGTCGTAAATTTCTCATACAGGACGCCTTCTCTCAAGCGGTAACGGTGGACAACGTGGAAGTCCTTGGCACGCGTCCAGCTGTAATCAAGGGCCGGCATTTGCTTTGGTCTGTCGTTAAGCCTGAACGAACGGTCATCAATTGGTCGAGCTTCAACGAATACGACGGAGCCAAGCACATTCGACTTCTCAAGAGATTGTGGTTCTCTGTCGAGCCGATCGCCTTACACGCCGGTCCATCGACACATGGTTGTATTCTGCGAACCATCGTTCGGTTCACTCCTGTGGACCCTGAGACCAGTCTGAGAGACATTGAAGAGATGGCGGATGTCATCATCTCGGGCTACAAGCGCGACTCGGTGAGGGTCGTCATGGCGGTGAGAGAGCAATTGGCAGCCTTAGCCGCGTCGAGAAATTCAACAATATAAAAGAAAAATTACACGTGCATTTTAAGACGAAGTAGTAAGCTACTGAACAATCGTGCATGTGTCACTTGTGGCAGAAACGCCATGCTTCGAGAGCAAAAATGCTAAGCTGTACACTGTACAGCAGTAGTGTACAACAATCAATTACAGCCCAGAATAGCACCCTACCAGGTTGCCTGGTAGGGTGGTCCAGGTATCGGATACTGTTTGCTCTTCTCTGTAGAAGCATTCGAACGCATACAATTCGATCAGCGAAATAGGCTGGCGCGATGCAGATACATGTTAATACGTTTGATACGTCTGGGTGAGGCCACTTGATTCCGACACATGGCAGGATTCGCCTTCGTGCAGGGGCTTTGTTGACTCATCCTTCTATCAACGTCCCCCCTGTAACAGGGGGGAATGGTAACTTCAAAATCGGTGAAGTTAATATTGTGAAAATATCACCTGTAGACCAGTTAATATAAAAAATATCACCTAATATTTTCTTCTGAGACAATATGATATTATTAAATATCAACTTAATATTAGCTAATACGATATTATATTTTTCAAAGATTGCGTAATTGGGCTAAATTAACCAATCCGATGTAGCTAACGCTCGACTAGCTGAAGTATTACTAATCAACCGTGAGGGAGGGACAGTGACGGCAAGGTTGGCGTCGTGTGTTGGCACTGCTGAGCGCATTAATCTAGCGCCACAGGCAGCAGGTTTATTAGACGCACGATGTGGACAAGGAGATCGGTAGAGAACAAGAGCAAATGTCTTGATTTCGCTCTATCAACGTTAAACAGCTGCAAGCGTTTGCAGTTTTTCATCTCGATCGCCTTACTGCTTCTCTAGAACCTGATCGAAAAAGTTATTTGGCTCCGCTAGGTGGCAAGAAGCGTACTTAAGTGGGAAAATATCATAAAATATCATGTAGTATCTAATATTTTTCGGTTCTCCGAGTTAATATTAAAATATTATGTTAACTTTTATAAAAATGAGTTACTATTAATATTTAATATCGAAAATAGTACTATTACTACCAAAAATATCATTTGATATTTGGTTACCATTAGCCCCTGCCCCTGTTGCAAATTGCCAGCTCAGCAGATCCGAAGGACACGGATTCCTACATCTGTCGGCCTTATGAACGAGCAATTACCCGCCTCTCCGACGCCGTCGTTCACATCGACTGCAAGCCTAAGTGGGTCGAGTGAGGCAGACAGCGATCTCTTCTCAACCCTGTTCGAGCTACCAGCGCTTAGCTACTCACCCAGCTCCGCTTCCGACAGAGGAGATCGCCCTTTTCCTTACACTCGGTCCAAGACACGTTGGCGAAAGCGACCAAACGACGAGCTAAAGTATCTGCGAGCTCAAATCATCGAGCTAGAGGGTCTGAAAACGGCGCTGAGCTACCAGCCGAGACGACATGGTGGGAATGCCAATGAACCCCACGTCAGCGAAGAGAGTCACGCGAAGCAGCTGCAAGCTGCGCTCAAAGAGAACCGAAGACTGCGAGCAATGGTAGCGCGTCGGTTCCAACTCGCTTGCTCGCTTCAAAGTGCAATCGATGAGCAGTTGCGGCTGAGAGCTGGGAAAATCTCATGGCCGAAAAGCACTGCGACTTCGGACGAGTTGATTTTTGCCTTGCTGGACGAAGAGAAAGACAAGCAGTTCGCTGTGCTCGACAAGGTAATGGAGGAGAGTGGGATCGCGCGAGTATTTCACTCGCTGTACTCTTCACTGCAGCTCCAAGTTAGCGGAAATCGAGTGTCGTTCCAGCACAGCGAGGTGCGAATGCTCCCGTTCAATGTGGCGGATGTGGCTGGCTCGCTTCGACACTGTTTGAGCTACGGATCGAGAGTCGGGCCGACTAGACACTGTCGCAACATTCGGATGTATGACGAATACTTTCATGCTGTTACGGCCGACAAGGTGGAACTGCCAGAGACTCAACCTGCCGACGTCAGCTCCAGAGTCGTTCAGTTATGTGTAGCTAAGCCTGAGAAGACGGTCGTGACGTGGTCGGCTTATGTTGAGTATAAAGGTTCGAAGTGCATTCGTTTGCTGGAGAAGACGTGGATTGTATTGGAAGCGATTTCGTTGGGAAAACTCGGTATGTTTCCGGTGGGGGGACGGATGCACGGCACGTTGATGCGAGTTGTAGTTCGGTTGACACCGGTAGAGACTGAGTTTGATCTGCACAAGACAAAGGATGTCGAGGAGATGGCGAACGTCGTTGTGGGCACGTACCAGCGCAATGGCCAACGGATGCTCCAGGCGATGCTCGAGTATTTGAAAGATTGCCAACGAAATCGGTGAGAAACGTGAACAAAACTAAGCACCAAGAGAGTGGCAGCCACGCATTTAGCACTTTACGTGTATCGTTGCGCACGATGTGGCGAGTATTACAGGTAAATACAGGAGGAAGTAGCAGGAGTAAGTCGTATGTGTTCCAAGAACAAATGTAATTGCTTGTCACTTGGGCCTCAATGCGATAATCGTTGGAATCAACTCCTTATTGAACTTAGATATGTTCATTTAAAGTGGAAAAGCTTCCAGCATCATTTCCACTTTACTGTGTACGAGTCGTACCTCTTCACTATCCTGTTGACTCAGTCCATTTCCAATTTTATGACTTCTTAAAGACCCGGACAACTATTATGCACCACTACAGTAGGTAACGGACAGAGCAGTGTCATTTAGCTTGGGCTTTGTCGGGTGTCGTCTCGCGCCGTTCGCAACAACTCACTCGAACCTCATTTCAGTAAACGAAGATGGCCGAGCAATACGACCGAGAAGGGCGACCATTTCCTTACACCCGATCGAAGACGCGATGGCGCAAGCGGCCGAGTGACGAGCTCAAGTACTTGAAAGCGCAAGTGGTTGACTTGGAGAAGCTACTTGCAGCTCTCAGCCACTCTGACTCGTCCCGTCCGAGACTTCTGAACGACGGAGAGACGACCAGTGACAACCAAGTTGAGATGCTCCAAAAACTTTACCGAGAAAGTGAAGTAGACAAGTTAAAAGACGCGATGAAGCAGAACCAGTACCTGCGAGCAATGCTCGTCCGGAAAGTTCACTTGGCTCGATCTCTCCAGTCCGCCATTAGTGAGCAGATGCGACTAGGCGTACGGAAGATATCGTGGCCAACCCGTGAAGGAGCAGCAGATGAAGTGATTTTCGCCTTGCTAGATGAAGAGAAAGAGCGTCAGTTCGCTGTGCTTGACGAAATGTTGGAGCAAAGCGGGATGGCACGAGTTTATCACCATTCATTCTCTAGGCTCCTGCTTCATCAAAGCGGGAAAACAGTGTCGTTCCAGCACAATGAAGTGCGCCTGCTCCCGTTTGCCGTGTCGGATGTCGCTCGCGCATTGCGCCACAGCTTGAGTTTTGGGGCGCGAGTTGGGCCGACCAAGCATTGTCGAGACATCCGCATGTACGATAGCTACTTCCACGCGGTTACTGCTGACAGCGTCCAGCTGCCAGACGCCCAATCTGCGGAGGTCAAGTCGAGAGTGCTTCAGTTGTGTGTCACTCAGCCAGAACGCACTGTGGTGACCTGGTCGGGCTACGTCGAGTATAAAAGCCACAAGTTTATTCGCCTACTGGAGAAAACGTGGGTCGTCCTGGAGTCCATTCCGATGCCGGCAACGGGAGGAAGGACTCATGGGACGTTGATGCGGGTGGTTGTTCGCTTGACGCCAGTCGAAGCTGAGCTAGATCCACAGAAACCGGAGGATATTGTGGAGATGGCAAATGTAGTCGTAAGCACTTATCAACGCCATGGACAACGAATGCTCCAGTCGATGCTTGAACAGCTGAGCGATTGCATGAGAACGGGAACACGCATTTGAAGACGTGAAAGGTGCCTGCATCTTGTGGTGTCGGTGGTTTTTAAGGAGAGGGTCGAGTTAAAAGTGAGTGGTTAAACGTGAGAACAGTGTCAACATGATCGAGTAGCAAGATAACACAAGCTCTTCACGCTTTGGCAATGGCATGAATGTAACTTCGCTCAACCTCGTGAAATACACGTACTGTACATGTAGCTCCCTATCAGTGCAGCTCAATTCAATTCTAGAAGATAGAGGGTTTTACATGAGGCAATTGAGCTCGAACATTGCCACTTCTTGGCGAGGAAAACTTTGCTGACAGGCATGTCAGACGTCCTATAAACCGACCGTCTACTGTAGAAACCAAGAATCAACGTTAAGCTTAGGACGCCACGACATCTTTCGATCTCCACTCATGTTGGAAATGCGCCTGTTGGTATAACGTCGTACGTGTACGATCAACAGAAGATACCCGTTGCTGTCATTCAAGTGGAACCCCCTATTATATCGCCAACGAACTAACGTTTCTTGACTCAGCGGACATCTTACCAAGGTAAAGTTATATTGTACATGTCGGATCTTATCCGGTAGCAGTACTGGTGAAAACAATGGCTTGCCATCAGCAAGGATTGTGGGGACTGGTAACGTTCACATCCGCATACATGTACAGTGCGAGCGTCGCGCTCTATGGATTATTACCAGTAATGTGTTTGCGGTCAATGTATGTTTTGCCCGATGGCTGTATGTGTATATGGAGCACGTGGCGTTTCTTTAGTCAATACGAACATGTGGGTGGGGCATTGTGAGCTTCTGTATGCTTTCTTGCTGTGTTGAAGATCTTTGCCTTTACTACCTGGCCTCCTTATGGTGTTGATGTCAATACAAGTGAAATCGATATACTTCCCAGCAAGTGTAGGTGAGTCTCGTTGACGAACTATTTGGACCCATTCTGTCTGGTCATTCTCCAATTACCCTCGCCGCGATGAATACTACCGTACAAGAGCCCTGGAGCCTTCAACCGACCTGGAATGGTTTTGGTGGGGCTATTCAATCTCCAAGCAACGCCTCGGTTACCGAATCGGACGCGTCAAGTGAGAGCGACTGTGATCTGTTAAGCCTGTTCGAGCAGCCACTGTCTCCCAAGTGTGTCAGCAGAGAGCGCTCCGACAGAGGAGGGCGTCCGTTTCCGTACACCCGATCCAAGACGCGATGGCGCAAGCGTCCTAATGACGAGATCAAGTACCTAAGGGGTCAACTTGGTGAGCTGCAGAAACTGAAAAGTGAGTTGAGCAATCGCGACACGAAGCCATTCCATGCCAACGATCCTACGAAGGACAGCAACCGCCCCGAGTCCTTCCAATATGTCCGTGAAGAAAAGAGCGACAAAGAACTTGGCGCGGCGTTGGCAGAGAATCGAAAACTGCGCTCGATGGTGGCTGCTCGTCGTCAAGTGACGAAGACGCTTCAAGTTGCGATCGACGAGCAAGTACGACTCAAGGCACAAAGAGTTTATCACGCCAATGACTCGGTGGCTCCAGCCGAGTTACTCCCCGCTTAAGGGAGTGTTGAAAGTGTCGTTTTGGTGTTGTTTGGAAGTTTTATGAAGTCGAGACGGGAACCTTTTGAGTCGTAGCAATAGACCAACTTTTATCATGAGTTTGCCGTTATTACCGCGTTGCGTCTTGCGTAGTCATTCGCGTTTTATCAGCACAGCAACGTTAGACGAACGAGATCGCGTTCCTACAGGGGTTCCGAAAATACTATTTTTATTAAATACTTTTGTATTTTAATCAATAAATTATTTATTTTTAGATTTGCTTAGAAGGGCTGCAATATTTGTTTTGTGCTCTGTGTCACCGATAACCCTATTGCGAACCGGTCTCCTGAGACCGGTTCACAATCACTTCTTCGAATGGAGCACGTTCATCGATTTATGGCGCATCATCCTCCAACAATTTAGCATTTCTTAGCTGGAGCAATACACTCACAGCCCATTGTCTACTCTACTCAATACGATGCCTGCGAAGACCCCGTGGAGCGTTCCAAAGCCGCGTCGAAAGGCAGCTTCCGCCCCGCCCAGAGCGCCAAAGAAAGCCAAGAAGGCCAAGACGTCGAAGAAGATGGTCCGCACGCATTCGTTCACGTCGAAGCAAGTGTCATCTTTCTATTTCACGGCTGTACTCGACGATGATGAAGAGCCTACTGCAGTATACAAGTGTCGCTGTGGTGTCCAGCGCCGAATGGAGCCTAACACTGGCTACACAAACCTACTTGGCCACGTCTTCATGTGGCACACAAACTTCGTTGCGGACATGACAAGCGCCAGCTCAAATACGGAAACGTTAGTTGGGTTCGTCGATGACAAGACTCACAAAGTCTTCTCTTGGATTGACGTTGTGCTCTCGTGCAATCTGCCCTTCTCGTTCTGTGAGACAGACGCGGCATCTAACTACGTAAGGATTGGAAGCCTTTCGACGGACAGCCTCGTGAAATACATGTGCCTACTAGTCCGTGAAGTTGAAACTGTGATCGCTGGTATTCTGCCAAAGTCGTTTGACATCATTTTTGACGGGTGGACCTTCCGTTTAGAGCATTACGTCGCAGTCTTTGCATCCTTTCGCCACGATGGAAAAGTGCAGAACATTTTGGTCGCAATGGCGCCACTTGTCGACGATGAGGTCAGCGACCACACAGCCCGCAGTCACGTTAAGTTTCTGGACACAATTCTCTCTTACTATGGCCGGAGCAAAGCCAATATTGTCTACATTGTCGGAGATAATTGCTCCGTGAACGGTGCTGTTGCCGATCTGCTGCAGGTTTCGATGGTGGGCTGTGCCAGCCATCGTCTGAGCCTGGCGGTAAACTTGCTCCTCTCTGGCGACGATGAGCTGATCACTGA